ATAGAGCGACAAATCTTGATAGATGTCGCTGCATATTATATATGGATGATTAATGTGAATTTACCAATAATCTTGCAGATTTTTCTCTAGAATTGATAGGTTCTTTCATTATTTGCTTATCTAATGCAATAAATTCATATTCAATACACTTCGCAATATTTATTAAACGAATGGACTATATTTGTTTTTCTGTAATCGTCAGCTGCTTTTAATGACTCATTGACTGACGGATACCTCGCGTGCTATCAACTGCTTTCAACTCATTTTTTTTTTCGTTTTCGTACATTACAGATGTATTTATGTCCTTACCAACACATTTGACTGGTAATGCTTCACAATTACCTTTTTTCTGTTCACCAGATTCACTATTATTTTATCTTGGTAAGTGAAATTTTCTTCTTATCATTGCAATTAATTTCTTTTTATTTTTATTTCAGATGATCCCAGTACATATTCCCAAGTATTAACACTCTACAATCCATACGACTTTGCTGTTCGTTATAAAGGTAAACATGATTTCTTTTGTTTCTATTATATATCTATCGACTTCCTTTTTAGTATTATGCACAGCTCAAAAAAAATATTCAGTTGCTGAACCACAAGGCGAAATTCGTGCACAACACTCTGTAGATACGTAAGAAAATAAATTAATATATTATCATAATAAATTCATTTATCTTTATTAGTGTTGTACGTCTTCTTGATACATCATCATCATCAACAAATCAGAATGTTGTGCATAAAATTCGTGTACAATATTTTGATCGTCGAAAATCTCAAGAACTTATTGGTAAGTAGAGATTGTTGATTTCAAAACTTTCTAATCGGCATTGGGTAGTCATTTTAATATTTGTTAGATGACTAGAACCTATCAGATCGGAAGTTTTTGTACCGTTCGAGACCTACGCGATAGATTTTATTACTAAGAAAAGAAATAAAGTCTATTATGTTTTTGTTTTTTTTTGTAGGTAAACGAGATATAACTTGTTCAATTTTATCTTATAAACCATTGGAACAAAACTTTAATGAAGAACCTAATATAACTGGTACAACGAGAAGAACTCGAATGAATACAACAACATCACCAACAACAAATCCAATAATTGTTTCACAACAAGAAACACGTAAATTATCAAAAGAGAAAATTTTATTTAAAATACAAATTATAATGATTTGATTTTTGTTTTTGAAGGAGATCCATTGGTTGTTTTTATTTTAACTATTCTTGCTGCTCTATGTGCATTTATTCTTGTATTACCAACAGTATCAGATAATGAAAATAGTTTAAGCACACGTATACCATCGTATTTACATATGACCACTAATTCAAAAGTAATTGCAAGTTATATACTCGGTAAATATTTTCTTTTTGATTTATGTTGAGATTTCTTTTTTGTTCTTTTCTATGTAGGTCTTTTAACAGTAGTATTCATTCGACGATAACAATTGTTTATTTGCACTATTGATGAAAACTGTGCAGATAGTTTATTTCTCCTTTTGTGCGTGTGTGCTGCTTTTCTTTTCTTTTTATTACACTATCCATACTTTGTTCTTATTACGATAACTGTATTTTTTTCTTCTAAAACAAAAACAACAAAATAAAATGTATCATATGAAAAATGTGCTAAGAGTCGTGTTGAATATTGTAGAGATAAAACTAATGAAAGTGTGATTGTAAAGTAGGAAGAGAATGATGTATGTGCTTTTCTTTCTTGAAAGTGTTGAACATTCGGCAAATTTTTTTATAGTCTCCTGGGACATCGTGACAGAAAGAAAATTTTAGCTCTAGTTTTTATAGATATGCGGAGATATCTTCTGTAAGACAAAATGTCATAAAAAGTCGATGATTTCAGTGTCTTCTGTTTTATCTCTATCAGAAACATGGACGAAGATAATTTCTGGGGAATATTCAAGATTAATAGAAGAACGTGTTTGAATTGTTAAATGTGTTTTATTTTTCATTAATGATTAAACAATAAGAGAAAAAACAAAGAAAAAGAAATTTTTTGCTTTTTTATATTTAATAGCAAATAAAAATCAAGATTTTTAAAAACTGACTGAAAAATAATCATTTATTGGAATATCTAATAATACGAAAAAATATATAATTATTTTTTTTTTTATTGAAATTTAACAATGATCGATGTCGTATAATTGGCATTTTTTACCTGAAAGTCAAGTATAAGTAACTCACTTGTTTCATTGAGTTTTTTTGTTTCTTTTTAGCTTTTAATCATTTTAATAGAAGGTTTATGTATAGATGTCCCAGTGTTTTTTGTTTATAATATGGTTGCTAGGTTTTGACGATGAATGTCATGAAATTGGAATACTTGTTACTCTCATTTTTGTCTAACACATACGATTAATCAGATGAAATTGCTTGATTTCGAATATTATGAATATATATATTTTTCAATAGAAAAGGTATAACTTATGTGGTTATTATTCACGGAATTTCTTTTTCTCCTTTACAATATTGGTATTGAAAAAGGCACAGTAGAGAGAGAGAGAAAAATACTGTAATACATTAACGAATCAAGGTTACAAAACAGCAAAATATCAATACTAAATCATGTAATGTTTGTTTCTTTCCTAGTTAACCTATACATGCGCAGTAATATTAAAATATGTATGTTGTCTAATATATCAGTTTCTTATGAAAGGAAAGAAAAACTTCTTCATCAAGGTCCCTTTTACACATGATCATCTATCCTTTAGCTTTTCTCTCATATTTGATTATTTCATTCAAAAGAAAAACGTGTAAGTCATTTATTCATCAACTAAATCTACATTAAATTTCATGTGTTAAATAAAATATTTGAATAATTTATTTCATTTGTTTTTTCCTCAATAATCTTCAATTATATTCGCAATTTACATTATACGACGAGTTTAAGTAAGATTTTGAAATAGAACTATGATTGATATGATTCTTTTTTTTTCATGGATTTGCTGCTTATATACCATTCATTACGTACTGGCATCTAAATTTGTGTTTGGGTTTATCTTAAAATAGAACATTAGTTGGAATGAATGATTTACTATAGGTTTATTAGTGAGGTAATGATTTGGAAATTTACGCATTTAAGTAAGTAACTGAAACTGAACTATGGTTGAAATGATACATTTAACCTAAATCATTGATTATGAGTCTTTTGATAATATAACGAGTTTCGAATTATGTAGTAATTAATTATATCAAGAATATTGAATAGAAGATTTATTTGAATTTTTGATTAGCTTTATATTGATTTATTTCATAAAAACTTCGAAAGATTTTGTTTCATATGGATAAATATTTAATAGATTCTATTATAGAATCATTTTCATTTCGAATCTATTCATAAATAATAATCAATCTCATGTTTTTGTAACAAACATAAGTAGATATTTTGAAGAGAATTTAATTTAAAATTATTGATTTTAATTGTACTTGTCGAGTTTAAGACATTTCCAAAAATTTTGCTACGAGGTGAACAAATATTTGAATGAAAATAAAATTAGAATTATTCATTCCAGTATATCATATGGTTCTATAATCATTCTTAAAAACAACAATTTTCTCTAAACTAAATAAATATTCAAATAGAATTTTCGTAAGATATATGTATTGTAGATGGGAAAAGTTCCGCTACCAGGTAGAAAATACTTGAGGTTTAGTTCTTTAGTCTCATAATTTGACTACAAGAATAGCATGTTGAACTCTGTTCAAGGGCTAGACAATATCACACAAAAGTGAGAAATTGTTCCATTTCAACCAGAAATGCTTCTTTAAGAAACAACATCACTTATATTAGACCATTCACATCAGGAAGAAATCATTAATCCATTTCTATCTTCATAATCAGAAGGCAAAAAAGACTTACGAAGACATTCATCATATTACTTTTTCATCCTAAGGAAAATTTCTAGTAGAGATGGAGGGTATAGGTATGGGGACGATTGTGGATGTAGATGTGAATGTCCATCACCTCTTCACTCACACTCCCATCAATATTCATCTTGCTGGGGAGTAACTGTTTGGAAAGCATCTTTCATGAAGTTATAAAAAATGATCAAGGTCACCCTTCAGATAAAGAAACAATGAAAGTGAATGAATTTCATGAAATGTTTTCTCTTTTTTCTTCTACCATTTATTCTTCAAGTTTTACTGCATTTGAATCGTTTAGCTACTGCTGTTTATTTGTATTATATTATTGACAACACATATGGTACAAATAAAAGTAAATTTAATTTTTTTTTGTTCTTATTTGTGACCGAATTATCGGCTTATGCGTGTAATTACTGTCTTAAATTCGTGTTTGTAAATTTTCGAAGGAAGTGCAAAAGCAACGAAAATAAGTTTAGATAGAACAAATGAAATAAAATATCCAATAAGATATAACTATGGATTTCTAACTGATTTCATACAACTAGATATAAAAGAAATAATCAATCGAGGAAAAGCAAATGCAATAAGAACAAGTGAATTAATTAGTAAATGTTTAACCTTAGAAAATTGTGCTTGTAAATGTTCTATATAAGGTTGTTGTGGATTGTCGACGAGAAACATTGAAAATAAAGACAAAAGCTAATAATATATTCAGAATAAATGGAAAAAGAAAATGAAATAATAACATTGCTGAATTAAAACATTGAACAGATGAATTATACTTTACCATGCACCATGTTCGATGTTCTTCTTCATCATCAATTAATTTTCGATGAAAAGCATCTTGAAGACGACATAAAATGATAAAAATACAAATAGTAATTGTAACCCATTCAATTATTCGTTTATGTTTAGTTTTCTTAATTGATTTGCTTGTTAATGTAATAAAAGCACGTTCAATACCGACACAAGCAATAAACTAATCACTGATATTTATAAGAATTTTAATGAGATATTCAATAATTATACAATGAAATGAAAGATAACTACGATTAGAAATTAAAGCCATTTGATATATAACAAGAATATAGAATTTATATGCAAATATAATCATAACAAATGGTGAATTCTATAATGATATAAGAAGAAAAATACCACAGGCAACTTTTCGAGATGTTTTCGTTTGAAAAGTTAAAATAGAGCAAATATTACTAAGTAGACCAAATGCTAACATGAATGTAGTTATTGAAATATACATTTTGACAGCTAAACGTTGTTGTGTAAATGGTAGATTAGGTTGAATTTGATAACCAAGAATAGCATCTAATGATATACTAAAATCTTTAGTTGAAAATTGACATCTTGAACCATATGAACAATGATCACAGACACACAATGATAATGTTGAACATTTAGAATCATCAAAAAAGTATGTACCTTGATTTTCACATGGATTTAATCCTTCACAAGTGTAATTCATACTATGACTAAATGGAAAACAATTTGCTTCTCGAAGATCATAATCACATATACATATAAATTCTTCATCATAAAAATAAGCAAGATTTAAGCGTTCTTTACATGGTATATGAAAATATTTTATTCGACGAAGATGATGCATTGTAATAATAGTTGAATTAAAAAACAACGAGAAGAACTTATTAGAGTCGATTGAACGGTTACTGATAAAGTACATTCTTTCTGAAGTTGAAGAAGATAATATGTTATAGATTTAATTTCAATAAAAACAATATGAAATGGAAAATTGTGAAAAATCGTAATTGTGTCTTGATCCAATGGAATCTTTTTACATATAATCGAACGATTATGAGATGTATTTTTGTCAAACACTCGAATATAATGAATGAGTAAAGATTGTGGTATCATTGATTTAGTTTCAAAGGAAATAACAATCGCTGTATGACGAATTTCACGTGTAGGGTCAGAAAATTCTTCTGTATGTATACACCAAGGTTTATTCATATGACCCATAGGTTCATCATTTTGAAGCATAGACTCCACCGTTTTTGCATGAACATTTTGACTGACTCAAATAATAAGAAGAACCAAATTTTCCAGCAGAACACAGACATCAATCAGAACCAAAACATATTGAACTTGGAGAACAACGACATATATGTTGAATATGACAATATTTACTGGACCAACCTGGATCACCATGGCAATAAGGTACTTTGCTGTTTACATATTGTGAGCAATACCCCTGAATTCCACAATTTAATGTACCACATGAATGTTAAATTATGTTTGTTGTAGGAACTTGTAGTTGAACAGTCATACGATTCACAAGTAAAAATGCAAATCTGATAGGAAATAACCATCTAGCTCGAAATTCTAACATGTGTTTATTATATATATCGATGCGTACAGAGTAATTTACTGAAAGATTTTTAGGTTGAGTTGCATATAGAAGATAGATGTTAAATTTCTAGTTACAATCACGAACATGTACATAGTTAACTTGATCATATGATTCTATCAAGTCCTGTTGATCGTTACTTAATGTAACAATAACAGCAAATACAGTACACCAATCAGACTGTACAACAATTTTCATGGCTATATTGACACGTTGATTTTGATATTCACAAAAACGACCATAATATTGAGATGAGCACAAGCATACTATTTCAGAATTATCAGCAATGTCTATCGAACAACGAACAGGAATTTCTCAATTGCAGCGCCATGGCACAAATATATTTTTTTCGTCCTATTATCATTTATTTCATCATAATGAGGAACGTTGATGTCATTAGTAGGTTGCGATAAAATAATATAAAAGACTTGATAGAAATTTGGAATAAAATTGATATTGTATCTATAATTTATATTTCTAAACGTCTATAAGATCCATTCGAAAAAGTGCAAATACTGTCATATTATTATACTGATTTTCTATCTACTTCAATCATAGTATTCATTCTATCCGCAGATGAATGCTACAGAAAATATATTGACTCAATGTGAACAATATCGTGTCTGAGTTGATGTATTTGAAGCTTCGCATTATCGTCTACTGAAATGTCTTATTTGACGTCGATGATTATTTTCGACCAAGTTACATTAAATGATGCTCAATACTTCCAGAATATTCTATCAACACTGCGAAAATATAAAAATGAGATCTTAAGAACAGACTGGGCATTTTATCAGACGTGAATACGAAGCTTCAAATGCATCAACTCACACAATAGTGATGTCAAAGTAACTTCCACTCTTTCATCGTACAGAACCATTGAACGCCAAATTTCTCAGATTTGAATACATCAAAATATTCAATTTAAGATAAATTTGTCAATTTGATCAATTATGTTGAAAGAAGCTGTTATGAAAAACTATATGATATAGTTCACATAATTTAATAAAAATTTGTTTTACAAAATTGTTCACGTTTCAGTGTTTGTTTGACGTGTGTCTTGTAAAATTATGGATGTCATTTACATTAGTTAGAATTATACTGTTTTGTAAAGAATGAAAAGATGGATCTTTCAAAAAAGAAAACCTGAAAAAATGGTTATTGCAAAGGATATCATTAAAATACAGAGAGACCTATTTTTCCTGGGATACCTTTTACTTTAGTTGAAATCGTTAAAAAATTTTCAATTTTCTTGGAGGCAGTGAAATGATCTCATTATTCGCTCTCGTCTCTTATCGTTCCTGCGTGTGTTAAATAGAGTAGAGAAAGTCCATGACATTGTGTACAGTTATTTTACAGAAAGAGTGCAGAATGGTTATATGGATACCTTTCCTTCTTTTAATGGCATTTTATTTATGAATATGTAATTAAAATAACTCATATACAATTTGAAAGATAAAAGAATTTCATATCGACTAATATAAAATGTTTTCTTGAAAGACATGTTTATGGAAAGATATAAGAGTTGAAGTATGATGCCATTACTTGCGCATTGTATATTGTTTCAAGTAGGTTATCTCAACAAGTATCTAACGAATTCTAAAAGTGTATTTCTTAACTCTTTGTTTAAAATAGTTAGTCAAATAATTGCAATGCTGATAGATACTCATTCAACTTGTTGAACTATCAACAAAATTCTTAATTCAACTGGAAGAATTCAAACAGGAATTAGAACTATATCACATTCTTTCATATTGATGAAATACAATTAGAGACTGGTATGAGTCATAGAATTGTTGAACAAATTTTTTCTCACCATTGGAAGTTTTAAAAAGTTGCTGTAAATGAAGGAACTCCGCGTACCACGATTCAACGTAGTTGTTTAGCTTCAAAATTCTTTTTTTTGTTTTTGAATCTTTTTCAAAACAACAAGTTCTGCTTTGTTTCATCATGTTGATCAAGGAGAGACCATTGATTATCACTGAAGTATGGAAATAGACGGATACGGATGTGTGGATGTCGACACTCTCTCCCTCTAGTGTACTGTACACCCACACCCACAAGCTAATTGATATTCGAAACAACATTAACATTTTCTAAAACTGGTAACTCTGATTTTCTAAGCTTATACTGCCATATTATCTACTAAATGTGTACAACTATACATAAGAAAAATTGCAACTCGTTTCAGTTTATATCAAGTCATGGACACGAACTCTTTTTATGCTGGACATAATTTACTAAGGCCTTCAAGATGTATAAAGTTCCGGCTCAAAAGTACTTCGACACTTGGAAACGTTCTCTCACGAACCTATTTGTACGTGAGAAGCGCTAAAAAATTAGCTTGTTCATTCCAAATCGTTTAATAAAATTGCGTTGTTTAGCTTTGATTAAGTCATAGGAAGAAGAGAATCACATATTATTTGTAGTACTGTAATACTTTGTACAATGCTTTATTTACCAATATGATTGATACCCATATTCACCGTATCCACTGTAAGAAATAATTTCAACACTAGATGCAAAGACTTTAAGACTTTCCTGTATATAATCATCTAGAGAATGACTATGATACTGGACATTATCATTCATACATTGTACTTTGTCATGATCATCACATATGTTTTGTAATATTTAATTAATTGCTTACTATCTTTTTGTATGAAATAGTCTATATTGAAACACAACTATAAAAAGTGAACATTTTCATGGTATAATGACGCAATTAGTGTTTGTTTTTTTCTCATAATATTTTTTTCATGATTGTCGGTTTTATTTTATTTTCATAGTGTACAAGAATAAAACAAAATTATGCATATGGTTTTGTTTGTCATATAGGTTCTCGATTTGAAAATTTTTTATTAAAAGACTGTTTTCAAAATAACAGATCCATAAATATGTTGAAATAAATGAAAATAAATTGTATCAGTGAATTTATTTAAAAGATTTGCTAACGAACTTGGAAATAATGCCAGAACAAACGATAGTGATTTATATAAAGTATTACATGAAGATTATTCTGTCATGTATGTGTCTTTGTAGATTGAAGATAAATATTTCTTACTCCATGAATCACTGCCTCATTCAAACATAGCAGAAAGCTTTTGTCTTGAACATTAAGCAAAACATATATAAAGTTAGATACTATTTCAATGAGAAATAACGGTTGTTGCTTCTAGGATATTTTTTGCCCATTTTAAAGTGAATCGAAATAAAATCCGAAAATAATTCCTATTATCTAACAAGTTATACTGTACTATTTTCAGTAGTAATATGAATGTTTTCTACTAGACAAATAATGTTTGAAAGATTTGCTTTCCGACGACAAATGCTTTCTAGTGATACGTACTTTATTGACATAGAGGCAAGAAAGATAAAGCGTGAGACTCCAGTATTTCATCGTACCTCATCCATACCTCATCGTACTTGAGTCGTATCTCGAAGTTCTGAAGTTGCGCTTTTTTCTCTTGCATTGAGGAGATTGATACTGAGGATGAAGATAATATCTACAACTAATTTCAAAAATGATTCATATTGAATTTAGATTGCTAAAAGTTTCAACAAAGTATCATATGAGAAACAACTGTCTGCGAAACAACAGTCATGAATTTATTTTTTATACAGAAGCAGACTTGAGAAAATTCTCAAATATTAAAAACTATACACTATGCTTCCAAATTTATGATAGTTGTAATAAGATTTTATTGCATGGAAGTGTATTTATCCAATAAAGAGATGAGAAAATTTCAATTTGAAGTCTTGTTCATTCATTATATATGCTATCTAAAGACAATATATTGATAATTTTATTTGTAATGTTTTGTTTTCTCTAATATTATAAAACAATGCCCAACTGTTGAATGCCATCGCAGTGGTGATGTAGCAGTGTCGTCATGAAGATCTCTGCTACAAGTAGATCTCGGTGAGACTAAGACAGGCTTAAAATGATTTGAGTCCATGGTCTACTGACAAAGCGTTATGGTTATGTAAATAAAATTTTTTACTGAGAGTACGGCATTTCGGAATAATTGAGAACAAAGATTTTCAACCTAAAGTTTTGTATATGAGCATGTTTAATAGTCATTAGTAGTTCTGAAAGTTTTAACGAAAGCAAACATGTCTTTCTCAAGGTATTCGATTTTCCAGTAGACTCCATTATTGTGTTCTACCGTCGTAAATCGCTCATTTTAAAATTTCAGCAAAAATTGCCATAAGCTCGAAAGTAAAAAGTATGAACTTGA